ATCGGCCCAGCCGATGGGGAAACCAGTGGCAGCACCGGTAGCAGGACCGGGAGAGGAGCAGGCGGGAGTCTGGTCAGCGTAGCTGGGGAAGGAGCCAGCGGCAACGCCGGCGGTAGAGCCAGAGGACGAACAGACGGGACCCCAGGCAGCCTAGCTGGGGAAGGAACCAGCTGCAGCACCGGCAATAGAGCTGGAGGAGGAGCTAACTGGATCCCTGACTGCAGAGCTGGTGGCAGAGTCAGCTGCGGCGTAAGCAGCAGGAGCGGCAGAGGAGCCAGCCGCGTCAGAAGAGGGCGCATCGGTGAGGTAACCAGATGCACCATACAGAGGGGAGCCGGCGATAGATACGGCGGCCTTGCGGACCACCGGAGTGAAGCAGGTACCAGGCGGAAGGGCCGGGCTGGCGTCCCTGTAGGCAGTACGCCCAGCCCGAAGACCGTTGTTGACGGCCGGCGTATCGGGGCAAGACAGTGGCAAGTCAAGGACAACATTGAGGCCATAGGAGGTAGGGCCTAAGGTGGCGAGTGGCCGGGGTGTAGGGGAGGACGAAGCCCCGAGATTCCCCGCCGAGGAACGCGCCGACGCCGGTGGATACCCCAAGGGAGGACCCCCCACTGAAGGTACAATCAAAGTCGTGGCAGGCGAGTTCAGGGGTCCCCCTGATACCAGCAGGGTAACCTCCGGGGTGCACCCGCGAACCCAGGGCACCCGAAACCTTGGGCCCAGGCAAAGGCAGCGCGGGAACACTTAGTAGAGCGGAGGCAGGTACAATATTTCACAGGAAATCCTCTTCACAGCATGCAGGAGTTGTCTGTACATACACATTCCAGAACCAATGCATTTAACTCCTACACAGCACATCCATACACTGATATATAGCATGTCTTTAAAACTGGGGGGATCTTTTTACCACTGCAATTACAGTTTTGTCTACATGACTGGCCTACAGCATAGTGTTAACCTCTTATACTGTCCTTATTGAAGCATATACCTTTACTGTGGTACGTCATATTTAAACCCCCAAAAGACTTTTTGACTAAGGAAAGCCTCTTTTGGGGTGTTATGGGGTTTGGAGGCAAGCTAGACTATTAACTTTACCTACTCTGGTAATATTTCTCAATGAGACAGAGAGAGAGAGAGACAGACAGAGACACAGAGACTTTCATTACAGCTTAAAAATGGTATTTTTCCTTCAGTTCCTGAGTCATTTCAATTTCCACTGGGGAACACTTTTCAGGAATAAAATTAGGATAAAGTCAACTTCATCTATAGCCAAATAGTACCTGAAAAAGGAAATCTTTGTCTATCACCACACAATTTCATATGCTTATTGATGCGTATACGATTTATAGAAGGTTGCCTTATTCCATATGTGCGACAAGTAATATTTTGTTGGAAAAAAAACAAGTGAGAAGAAATACCTCCTGAATGTTTACTGGTAAAAATAAACATTTTGCCAATTTAGTCAGCAAGATATAAACTAGCATATATATGGTGACCTATAACATACCACAAGTCATGATTTCTATTAAAGTCTCTGGCAAAACTAAATTGGAACTTTCTATCTTAAAACTAAATAGTAAAAGCTATCTTCTACTGGAGAAATCTTGAAGTTAGATATGCAGGCTTCCTGTAGCATTAAATAACCAAGTTGTCAACTGAAAATCCCCTCTCCCAAGCAGAAAAAGCCTTTACAAAGAAGAAGCATTTTGGTTAATAACTTAATCATCTGATTAGTAAAATTCCACATTACACTTTTTCAGCCTTTAACATTGCATAAAAATGTCAACACAGAGATCAGGGTCAAATTCTGATACAAGCTAATGTATTAGCAGTAGTATCCAAACGGGTAGAGAATCACCTTTCTTACTGTTTGAGGGTGGAGGGGGAACCCTTCTGAAATTAAAATCTTGTTCATTCTAAAGAGTTTGATGCTTTTCCCACAGCCATATACATGAATTCTTCATCCCTACACAGTATCCAAGATCTCTTCTGAAGTCTCCTATGCCAAGACCCATAAAGGTAAACGGGTACCCAATTTCTACTGATTCCAATACCTTTCTAGATTTGGGCCACTGCATCTGCAAAAAGCAAAATCTATCCATGTTATCCATTAGCCACTCTAGAAACTGTTTTGATTTTCAAGGGAAAAAAGGCAGCTTGACACTATGGAAAAATCTAAGAGACAGTCTAGTTAATATTCTTGATCCAGCTGTTTGTATTTGTGAAAAGTGTCATAAGTTCTTTTTTAAGAAAGTCATATCCCCATGAGAATATCTATGGTGTTTAAATTAATCACATTTGGTAGGAAGGTCCACACTCTCTCCAAAATGCTATGACTGTCTTTGGCACTTGGTATTTAAAGCTTTTTAGAAGAAACCTAGGACAGCAAGAAGCTCTTTGCTAGCTCTTAATAAAATCCCACCAAGCTCTATAAAGTTGGAGTCCACTGCACGATGGCAAAGAAGAACTTGTGCTGCCTGCACAGCAGTAGTGGAGGATCACCTGTGAAGTGGCAGCAGCAGAAGTAGGGGTTTGCCCACACAGTGGTGGCAGCGGGCAAACTTGTAATGCTTGTGCAGTGGGAAGCCTGCACACGGTGGGGGTCCCAGGGAGCCCACCCAGCCCCTGTGGCATGCAGCCCGCATGGTGTGCTGTCTGTTGCCCGCAACTTGTATGGAATATGGCCCTCAGTCACTCTGAAGTTGCATATCCCTGGTATAAAGCATTGTGATCATTATTCCAAGTGTACTGAAGCCACTGGCTAGTTTTGAGAGATATGAGCACAAAATCACTTAGTGAACATTAATCAAATCAACGTAGCGACCACCTCAATTTCATAAAGATATCGGTACTTTGGTCCTGTAAAGTCCTGAGCACCTTTTTCAGATAATCAACACCTTACAGGATTGGACCCCTAGACATATGGGGCCCGGAAAATGAGTATTCAGCAGAGGTCCATAACAAGCAGTTATGGCCTCATCATCATTTGTGGGGATAAAGTGTTTTATAAACAAGACTCTGCCCACATGAATTATCCTGTATTTATACCACACCACAATCTTAAACTTTTCACGTGACCCCTAAGACTGATTATGCCTATAACTGGTTTACATTTTTTTAAAGTAAATAAAAAAGTGTTTGTTTTTAATTTTTTCCTGTATTGTACTTGAATTTAAATCAGGGAGAGAAAAAACCACAACTCAAGTCTACCAAACAAAATGCTGTTTTACTGACTGGATTTGTCTCTCTCTGTCTGACCACACCAGACTGACATCACCCTATTGGCAAGACAATACTCTGATAAAACAACTGTATTTCATCAAATTCCAAAAGGCCTTATCCAGTCTTCAAAATTCATTACTGTATAGGCCTGCATCTGGGCTGCAACTGAAGCACAGATAGTTGATGCATATTCATTTCATTCTCTCTCTCATAATACTTCTCTTTGTTTCAATACACAGCAGTCTGAGGCACTTCATACCTGCTTCTTTCGAATAGTTCTGCTTGTA